TACCCCACTGTAACCCTAAACCCTAAACCCTAAACCCTAAACCCTAAACCCTAAACCCTAAACCCTAAACCTCTCATGACGAACAGAAAGCCTTGAACCTTAAACCTCTTATGACGAACAGCACGAGGAAGACTTTCTGGTTCGTAATAGTGAATTCGGGAGAGAGTGCAGTAAGCTATAACCCTTTAAGGGACTGTTTCGGAACCCTCGTTCCCGATTTCCCTACTAAGAACCAGAAAGAGCCGGGGGCTGTTGTTTTTTGGTGTGAGGGTTTATAGGTGTTTGGGGATCAGGGATGCCCCTGCGCTGTTGACTCCGCCAGTGCTCCATCGGCTCCAGACCCGCAACTCTGTAAACCCTAAACCCTAAACCCTAAACCCTAAACCCTAAACCCTAAACCCTAAACCCTAAACCCCAACCTGTCAAACTTTTGGTCACTTCTTTCGAACAACTCGCTGCGTTGTCAAGCTGGCCCATGAGTAGAAGCACCCTTCAGTTTCAGGACTAAACCCTAAACCCTGAACAAGGGTAGGGTTTAGAGTTTAGGGTTTTGGGTTTTGGTCTTCGGGTTTAGGGTTACTAATAGCATTCCCTTATGGTCCCTTTGTAATGAAACTAGAGTAGCCCCCCAAAACCCTATTCTAATGATTAAGGCCCCTATGTTAGCTTTGAACATATTCTTAGGATTTTTTATTGCCCCGAAATCCTAATAATCCTGGTAAAGCCAGGAAAAATACTGTCTTAGAGGGCCCCCCAACCCTGCCCCAGTGGACCCTGAACTGAAAAATCAGTACCATAAACCTGGCACGTCACCCTGAGCCCTTGATCTCTGAAACCCAGCACAAAGCAACGCGGCCGACCTTCGACTCTTGGAACCCTGAAACCCTACTCCCTAAACCCTAGACCTTAAACCCTAAACCCTAAACCCTAAACCCTAAACCCTAAACCCTAAACCCTAAACCCTAAACCCTAAACCCTAAACCCCAATCCCTTAACCCTAAACCCCAGAAGAAAAAGGCTCCCTCCAGCCCAAAGCCCGGTGTCGGGGTCCAACACCCGCCTCCCTGAAGACTGCACCCTAAACCCTAAGCCCTAAACCCTAAGCCCTAAACCCTAAACCCTAAACCCTAAACCCTAAGCCCTAAACCCTAAACCCTAAACCCTAAACCCGAAACCCTAAAGGCCTAAACCGCAACTGCACAGCGCGGAGTCTAACGGCCTCTTTGAGGACTACACCTCCTCGGAGCGGAAGGTGGCCAGCGCACCCAGGAAGGGCGCCAACGTGGGCCCAGGGTTGGGTTTAGGGTTTAGGGTTTAGGGTTGAAGGGTTCAGGGTTTAGGGTTCAGGGTTCAGGGTTTAGGGTCACGGGGTTTAGGGTTTAGGGAGTTTGGGGTTCAGGGGGGTAGGGGGGTTTGGGGGGTTTAGGGATTTCTGTGTTTTGGATTTTAGCTATTTAGGGAACTCAGGTTTAGGCTCTAGGGTTTAGGGATGTATGGGGGTGTGTTGAGGGTCTAGGGTTGAGGGAAGGGCTTCATGACTCGGGGTCCGGCGTGTGCGGGTCAGAGGAGGGAGGTTCTTGAGGGCTTTAGGGTGTTCTGGCTTACCCTGGGGTCCATGTACCTGAATAGGGAATACTTGGGCCTTAAAGTACCTCCCATGTCGGGAATTGGGGGCCCCAGCATATCACCATAAGGTACATTGTACCCTTAGGGTTGTACTTCCCCACGCTCCGAAGCCGAAGACCTGAACCCTAAACCCTAAACCCTAAACCCTAAACCCTAAACCCTAAACCCTAAACCCTAAACCCTAAACCCTAAGAACCCCATCATAATGATATAGGGAGCCTTAGTATGATTTCAGGCAGTATACCTTAACTGAGGGGGTATTTGGCTCTCTGGGGAGAGGGTTTGAAAGGCATGGCCTTGGACCCTAAACCCTAAACCCTAAACCCTAAACCCTAAACCCTAAACCCTAGACCCTAAACTTTTGAGCCCATGTCCTACAGGCGACGATGGGATCGCCTTCCGTCTTCGCACAGGTTTCCCTACTACCCCCCTCTATACTGCCCCCCCCCGCCCCGGGTTCCCCCCCCTAAACTTAATTAGTCTTGGGTAGTAGGAGGGGAACCCATGATCTTACAAAACCTTGACCACCTCCCTAGGCTTGCTACATGGCTGCGCGGCGGAATCAGTCCCTGCGGCAGTATGAATGCCCGGCATGATTTCTTCCTCAGGCTGCTATGGGGGTTAGGCAGGTTGGTTGGCCCTTAAGGTAGAATTAGGGTTTAGGGTTTAGGGTTTAGGGTTTAGGGTTTAGGGTTTAGGGGAGATGTACACGGGCCGTAGTCTCTTGGTGGTACCCTTCACCCTTCTTTTGTTCTGGGTTCCCTTGTAAAGTAACCAACCAAACAAGGGCGCCCTTATTATAATATGGCTACTTGGGCTACCACGGTCTTTAGCACTTGCCTTTAGGAAGTAGTTTTTGTTGTCTATATTCATAGACCCAGGAGGCTGTTCCAAGGTTGGGTAGACAGTGTCTGGGATTGCGCTCGCAGAAGCATTCCGAGGTGCGTGTGGAGGAAGTTTATGGGGTCTGCGTGGTGAATACTGCAGAGGCAAAAACCCTAAACCCTAAAACCTAAACCCCAAACCCCAAACTCTAAACCCTAACCCTAAACCCTAAACCCTAAACCATATACAAACCCCCCGAAGCCCTAAGAGCCCTCAAAGCCCTAAAACACTTAAAAACCTGAAACCCCTTTGCAACCCCAAAGCACCTCGAAACCCTAAACCCTCGACCCCAAACCCTAAACCCATTAACCCCTAAGCCCCTGAAACCCTACACCCTGAACCCTAAACCCTAAACCCTGAACCCTAAACCCTAAACCCCAAACCCTAAAGCCTCCAGCAAGCCCCAGCCGCAAGCCCGCCAGGCGTCCCAGGAGTCTCAGGAAGACCTCCTTGCGAAGCAGGAGGCTCTGAAGAAGGAGGAGGAGGCGCGATGGGGGGGGGTGTAGAGTTTAGGGTTTAGGGTTTAGGGTTTAGGGTTTAGGGTTTAGGGTTTAGGGGTTGCCCGAAGCCGCTGCTTCGGCTGCTTTGCCCCTCTCCCCCTTTGTGGAGTGGTTGTGGGGCCTGGGGTTTCGAGACTGCGGATTAAGGTTTAGGGTTCCTAGGGTTTAGGGTTTAGGGTTTAGGGTTTAGGGTTTAGGGTTTAGGGTTTCGAAAGCCGAGATATGTAGCGGCTTCGCTGCAAGAAGCAGGACGACCCTGAGCCTTAGATCAGGGGAGTCCGACGCTTTTGGGGGGTTTTTGGGAACTCAGGGCCTGGAAACACATGCCCTAAAAACTCTGCGCAAGCTCTGAGGGAAGTTTCAGGGGGCCTTAATGTGGTCCCTAACCTCCTTTGCCGGGTTCTGATGTCTGGGCCCTTCATTTGTAAAAAGGGTATGTAAGGGGTATATAAGGGGTAAGGGGTTTAAGGGCCCATACTAAGCGACCATGCAATTGCCCTTCGCTAAACCTTAAATCCTAGAGCCCAAACCTTGCCCCGAGCTGAAAAGGCCCCCCCCCCCCCCCCCCCCAAAGCCACGGGTTTGAGGGGTTGCTTCTTGCAGGATCCGTGGGGTTTGAGGGTCTTCCGGAAACCCTAAACCCTAAACCCTAAAATCCAAAAAGCCCGGGGCTCAAAGTCCTAGGCCTAGAAGCCCCTCCAAAAGCCCCTGAAGAACTCAACCCCCTAAGGGCACCCCAAACCCTAAACCCTAATCCCTGAACCCTAAACCCCAACTCGACTCATGAAGGTGGCCATCAAAGCGCTAGAGGGCCGGTGCCAGGCACGGAGTGAACGTCGCCTGGTGGACTTGCTTGGGGGGATTTATGGTTTAGTGTTTGGGGTTTAGGGTTTAGGGTTTAGGGTTTAGGGGTAAGCCTACGAACGCGGAGCTTGCGGTGTTGGGTGGAGGTCTGGGGTCCTAACCTGAGAGGAGCTTGAGGAACCTTGAAACACAGCACGTAGTCATTACAATTTATGCTGCCTTTTTGCTTGTTGCTACTACTTTTTCTTGTTATCATTAGCATTAGATTCCCACTATTACCTAAACCCTAAACCCTAAATTCTAAACCCTAAACCCTAAACCCTAAACCCCAACCCCACTATGTTTGGGCGGGGGTTCGGCTTCCTTATCCCCCCTTCAAGTAAACGTGGAGTTTGGGGGCCCTGAACTTTAGGCTCTAAGGTTTAGAGTTTCGTGTGGCTTGCGCAACCCTAAACCCTAAACCCTAAACCCTAAACCCTAAACCCTAAACCCTAAACCTTAAACACCTTTTGTAGTTCCTCGGTTTCTCTGGGATGTACCGAAAGGGGTGCGCGAGTGTTAGAAGACCGTGGTCTATGATTGGGGCCTTAGGAAGGGACCCTCAACCCCTAAACCCTAAACCCTAAACCCTAAACCCTAAACCCTAAACCTGGTAGTTCTTGGTCGACATTTGAGGGAATCAGGTACAGTTTATCCCCCCCCACATCTGACCTTAGGTTAGGTTATTCGGACGCCGTCGAGCTTTCAGATCCTGTTGGGCTTAAAATCAACCCCCCCCCCAAAGCCCTGAAGTTTGTGCCTTGCAGGCGCGTTGATCGAGCTTTAAACCCTAAACCCTAAACCCTAGGGGTTTAGGTTTAGGGTTTAGGGTTTAGGGTTTAGGGTTTAGGGTTTTGACAGTGCTATCAGTGTCAGGATAGCAACCAAAAGTCCCCCAGTCTGTGCCCTGAAGCCGCAGGCCCTGCACTTGGACTTACGGGTTGTGAGCACTGAACTCCATTTTGGCTCAAGAAGGCATTTCTGCCTTCAGGCCAACGGCAAGTGCGTGACACTTGCTTCAGCCCGAGCCAGGGGTCTGCTTCGCTGCAGATCTAGCTGGACTGCTTGGTTGCCGAGGTCCGAGGACCTGGGAGAACCCTTGACTGGGAAGTCAACGGCATCCGCGTAAGCGGTCCTTCGATCACCATGGGTCAGAAAGGCCAATCGAAGGGTGATAAAGGTAATTCCCGCAAGAAGCAGGACGCTGCGGCCATTCGGCCCACCCCACTCAGAGATGAGAAGGGCACTTTGGTCGAGGAGAGCGCCGAAGAGGCCACCTCGAGGGACCGTGCAAATCTTGCACGGGTCTTGACGGTGGTGCCGGAGCTCTCTCCGGCATCACTCGCCATCCTGAGTGAGTCTGTGAAGGCCCACCTAAGGCCACCCGCCTTGGCGGTGATTGTCTTATTGCTGTTTAAATTCGTACCCCATCAAATCAAAGAACATAAGCCGCCAAGCCCTAGTATAAGTATAAATTCCTTAGAAAGCCTATTGACGTTCATGAAACGCATAAAACCTCCACCCCCCCCCCCCCCCCCCCTATATACGAGCCTACCCTAAGCCCTGGAACCCTAGAACCTTAAACCCCTAAACCCTAAACCCCAAACCCCGAACCCCAAACCCTAAACCCTAAACCCTAAACCCTAAACCTCAGAGACCTGCAGGCGGAGCGCGACAGGCCGCCCATCCAGTGGCAGCCTATTTCTTTCGAGCGCCTGGGAACTCCAAACCCTAAACCCTAAACCCTAGGCCCTAAACCCTAAACCCTAAACCCTAAACCCTAAACCCTAAACCCTAAACCCTAAACTCCAAACCCCAAACCTCAAACCCCAAACCCAAAAACAACCAAACCCTAAACCCTCTCTTTCATACATACAAATTTTTTTAGTTATTGAAATATTTTTCGTGTTTAAACCTTTTTACGATTTCGGTCAATCTGCCCACCGGTGTTTTTACGATTTCGGTCAGTTCTCCCTTGTAAGGGTAGTATAGGGATTATCATCTTTGAGTGTTTTGGGTTTAGGTTTAGAGTTTAGGGTGTAGGGTATAGGGTTTAGGGTTTAGGGTTCCTCAGCACATAGTCAGCCCCCTTCGGTTCAACCCTCTGAGCCCCCACAACCCTAAGCCCTAAACCCTAAACCCTAAACCCTACACCCTACACCCTAAACCCAGCACTGTGAGACGTTCTCCACACACTGAGCCCTGCGAGCTTCAAGCACGAAGCCCTCCACGCAACACTTGGGGCTTTTTGGCATTATAGGGCTGAAAGGGTTTAGGGTTTAGGGTTGAAAGGGTTTGTCATAATCCCTCTTAAGGCCCTCGAGCATCCCCAGCTTTGGGGTTTACAGGGCTAACAGGGTAAGTAGGGCTCATAGGAAACTTCGAAAGCCCGCAGCTGGACCCTCGAAAAACCCTAGCAGCCCTACAAACCCTGAGCCCTAAACCTCCTTGACAAGAATCCTAAAACCCCTAATCCCTAAACCCAAAACCCAATAACCCAATAACCCAGTAACCCAATAACCCAATAACCCTAAACCCCAACCCCAAAATCTAAACCCTAAGCCCCCTTAAGCCCCACGAGCCCCTCAAACCCCGAACCTAAACTCCCTCTCGCCCTAAACCCTAAACCCTAAACCCTAAACCCAAAACCCTAGGAACCCTAAACCTTGAGAACCTCAGGATGGTCACGGAGCACCACATGAAGAAGGCTCCTGGCATGCGCCTTGCCTGCAGTACGGGAGCAGGAATGGTTTAGGGTTTAGGGTTTAGGGTTTAGGGTTTAGGGTTTAGGGTTTATTTCATGTATGTTTAATTTATTTGTCTTTCTTTCTCTTTCTTTCTTTGTCTTTCTTTCTTCCTCTTTAGTTCTTTCTCTATATGTCTTTCTCCTTTTCTCTTTCTCTGTACTTTCATTCTTTGCTTCTTTCTCTTTCTTGTTTCCTCTGCCTTCTGCTCTTGATCTGTCTCTTTCTCTTTCTTTTTTTTCTCTCTCACTCTCTCTCGCTCTCGCTCTGTCTGTCTCTTGAAACACACAGTCCTAAACGGAGGGGCAAATGCCCAACAAAGGCTGCTAGGCACAAAGCCTGAAAAACGCTGGCAGCATGAGGACTTTGTCGTTGCCAGCGTGGAGAACTTTGTAATGGCTCGGGGTTTAGAACCCTAAACCCTAAACCCTAAACCCTAAACCCTAAACCCTAAACCCTAAACCCTAAACCCTAAACCCTAAACCCTAAACCCTAAACCCTAAACCCTAAACCCTAAACCCTAAACCCTAAGCTTAGGGTTTAGGGTTCAGAGTTTGGGGTTAACGATGTTAGGGTCTGGGGTTTACCCAACGCAGGGTTGAGGCAGATTCTCGTGGCGGAGGTCGCATGCCTTTTCTCGGGGTAGTGGGACGGCATTGGCTAGTTGTGTGATCAGGGCCATCAGGGTTTAGGGTTTAGGGTCTATGATGTATGGTTCTTGTTTCTTGCTTTCTTTTGGGGGGGGGAGGGGGGGGGGGTGGGGGCTTCGGGCCTGAGAGTTTTCTTGGGGAGCTTGGAGTATAGGGCTTTGGGCTACAGAGTGTCAAACCCTAAGCCCTGAACCTTAAACCTTCTCACTATAAACCCTCGCCTGAGAACCCTGGGGTTTAGGGTTTCAGCATGTAGTGCCCTTATCATTCCCTGGTGCAGGGGGTTTGTTCCTGTGAACCCTCAACTTGCCCTAAACCCTAAACCCTAAACCCTCAACCCTAAACCCTAAACCTTAAACCCTACACCCTATACCCTATGCCCTAAACCCTAAACCCTAGACCCTACGTAGACCCTAAACCCGAAACCCTAAACCCTAAACCCCAACCCTAAACCGCAATGAAGCCGAAATGGGGGGGGGGAATGCTTGTCATTCTCAGGTTGCCAGGAGGTGGAGAACTCCAAGCCGTTTTTGCTTGGTTAGGGCAAGGGTTAATGGCTAAGGGTTCAGGGACCTGAACCCTAAACCCGAAACCCTAAACCCTAAACCCTAAACCCTAAACCGACCCTCATCCCTGAAGCGCCGAGGCTCTACGGCCTGGAGTTTCCCTGGTCGGGCCCTCAACTCGTCTCTCTCGGGGGCAGGGGTTTCGGGTTTGGGGTTTGGGGTTTGGGGTTAAGGGTTAAGGGTTGCAAATCTGCAGAACCTGGGCACCCAGAATCCGATGATCCCTACACACCCTATGACATAAGCCCTAAAACCCCGTATCTGCCCTTTACTTTAGAAGCCCTAGGCCCATACACCCGATGAAGCTAATTTGAACCCTCGATGTCCTGTAAGCCCGATAATTCCCAGATGTTGGGATGTTCCCCCATATACTGGCAGTCCTCAATAGGGATTGTAGAATCATTAAGTGTAAGGGGAACATCCCAACCTACATGCCCTAGCTCCGGGCACCCAGGCGTTAAAGAGGAGCCATGGGGTTTAGGGCTGAGGGTCTCTTGTAGAGAGGCTGCTCGGGTTGGTATTCGGGAACAGCAGGCTTCAGGGATTAAAAGAGAGTTTAAGGTTTAGGGGTTGGGGATTGGGTTTTGGGTTTGGGGGTAGAGTTCCGAGGTTTAGGGTTGTTTTCCTTGCCCGCAGCGGGCGTGCCACACCGTCTCGACTGCACTCAAGTAACCCTAAACCCTAAACCCTAATCCCTAAACCCCCCCACAGGCCGAAGCTCAAACCCCACAACAGAAGGTTCGCGCTTTGGTTGCAGTTAGCTCTCAAACCTTGCAAGGGGTTGATCACAAGAACCGGATGTGTTGGGTTCCTAGGGTAGTGCCCTCTAGACTCTGAACTCCAGACCCCAAACCCTAAACCCCAGACCCAAGCCCTAAGCCCCAAACCCCACACCCTAAACCCCAAACTCCAAACCCCAAACCCCAAACCCTAAGCCCAAAACCCCAAACAACTAAACTCACCCAGCAAGGACCGGCCCTATGTTGGAAGACTTCGGGCCCAGCTGGCCTGGCCCTGAGTGAGGGGGACCCTCAACCTTGGTTTTGGCATTTAGGGTTTAGGGTTTAGGGCTTAGGGTTTAGGGTTTAGGGTTTAGGGCTGTGGAGCAAATGGGTAGTTCTCTAAATGAGGGTCCCTTGTCGGAGGGTATATTCCTCTCTGAAGGGGTTTTGGAAGATCTGGGTATCTCCACCTCTCTAGCGCCCCAGATCCCATTTAGGTTGTGGGGGCGTGCGAGGGGGTGTCTTTAGCAACAACGACGAACACAAAAGAAGGCTTCCGGTTCTTAAGGTGGGACCCTAAACCCTAAACCCTAAACCCTAAACCCTAAACCCTAAACCCTAAACCCTAAACCCTAAACCCGAAACCCTGGCTCCTCTTTTTGTCTCTATGATGCTGTCTGGGCTCCTCCTACTCTACTGCCCTACATGCGTAGATTTCCCCAAGAAGGACAGCAATTCTGATCTCAGTTCTCGGACCCTAAACCCTAAACCCCAAACCCTAAACCCTAAACCCTAAACCCTAAACCCTCGGCTCTTTATGGTACCCTAAATTCTTGGGAACATGCCGTAGTTGCAAAAAGCCACAAGTGCCCACAAGTGAGATTCACACCGTACACCCCAGAACCCCCCGGGAAACCTACCAGCTACCCATGCGCGTGGCCGCTCCCAAGGCTCACGGAGGCCTTTCACCGTGCAGGCACTTGTTTTGCTTTGTTTAAGCGGGGTTTAGGGTTTAGGGTTTAGGGTTTAGGGTTTAGGGCTTAGGGCTTAGGGCGGTTTAGGGGGGGGGGAGGGCTTCGGCATTAGGACTGGGGCTTGGGGTCTGTCAGTAGCAGTGGCCCAGCCCCCCCCCCCCCCCGCGCTCTTACTTCCCTGTCCTCCCCCCTCTCAAAGAGCCCCTCTCAAAGAGCCCAATATTGCTTAATTAAGGAATATTCCTTCAGTCATATAGGGATCCTGAGTATGATTTAAGGTATATGCCTTAATTGAGCAATATTGAGCTCTTTGGGCTCTCCCTTCAAACAAGCCATGAATCAATACAGTCCTCTGCACATTCGGCTATCGAATGTGCGACCGCGCGCCACATTGCACATGCTACTATGTTAGGTGTAGTCGGGGGTTTCGGGCCTTGTGCTTGCGCTCGCTCTTCCACTCTCGGTCTCACGCTTGGCTTACTCTCACATGACTCACATCACTCACTCTTGCTCCCTCTCTCTCTCTCTCTCAGTCTCTGTCTCTCTCGCTGAATCTCTCTCTCTCTCTCTCTGTCTCTTGCTCGCTCGCGCGCGAAATGACTTGTTGCGCTGCAGTCGTCGCTGGTGCGCCATGACGTGCACACGGTGCCCCCTGAGCTGCGTGCGTTGCTCCCCGCGCTTGGAGGTTGCAAGACCAGCTGAGGAACGTGCATCACATCCGGGCCTCTCTTCTGCTGCTTTTGCTGCACTTCTGGGTGCTGGGTCTGTGGTTACCTGGGGCGATGCTCACTGCGGTGGCGACAGCAGTGCAGTGCAAGACCAGCTGAAGAACGTGCAGTGCATCCAGGCTTCATGTGGTGCTTTTGCTGAGGGCGTTGACAGCAAGGTCTGAGGGTGTGGACAGCAAGGGCATGGTTAGCAGCGGGCGGGGTTAGCCACAGAAGCATCGTAAAGCAGTGCAGCAAAAGCTGCGGAAGAAGCTTGGATGCAGTGAACGTTATGCAGTTCATTTTGCACAGAGCTGCTGTTCCCACCACAGTCGGCGTCGCCCCATGTCGCCACAGACCCATCCCCAAGAAGTGCAGCAAACGCATCGCTAGAGGCCTGAATGCACTGCACGCCCTTCACCTGTTCTCGCACTGCACTGCTGTCGCCACCGCAGACGGCATCCCCGCAGGGAACCACAGACCCATCGCCAAGAAGTGCAGCAAAAGCGCTGAGAGAAGCCTGGATGCACTGCACGTTCTTCAGCTGGTCTTGCACTGCACTGCTGTCGCCACCACTGGACTGCTCGCCCCAGGTAACCACAGACCCATCACCAAGAAGTGCAGCAAAAGCAGCAGAAGAAGCCTGGATGTAATGCACGTTCTGCAACTGGTCCTGCGCCTCACTGCTGTCACCACCACGGGACTGATCGCCCCATGCTCTGCCGTGCCTGCAGCACGGGCGCCGCCAAGGCGATTCAGGAGGACTTCGAGCTGTCAGTGCTGCAGAGCCTCGGAGAGGCCACGTGGTCACAGCTCGGGCTTGTCCATCTCATAGTCACGGACCAGTTCCTGAAAGTGGGGACCGTTTCCCTGCCTACCAGGATCCAACGAGGCCTGACTCATAAGAGCAGCACGGGAGCCTCCAGCGGCAAGGAGACCTACAAGCTGGTCCGTGAAGACCCGTCCTGACCAGCTACATGCCGCATCCCTCGAGGAGTTCAAGCAGGAGATCGACTCGCAGCTGTTAGGGTTTAGGGTTTAGGGTTTAGGGTTTAGGGTTTAGGGTTTAGGGTTTAGGGTTTAGGGTTTAGGGTTTAGGGTATCCTGGTCCATGTACTTTTGGGGTTTAGGGTTTGCGGGGTTTAGGATTTAGGGCTTGGGCTTTAGGGTTACAGGTGTTAGGGGTTTAGGGAGCTTAGTGTACTCCCATTAGAGACTGGAGAGGGGACTCGTCCAGTCGCTCCGTAGGCAAGTTTACCAGGGATAGGCGATGTGTCAACCGCTCATAGGAGATTGAGACCATGAGTATCTCGTAGGTCCTGAAAATTTATCCCTAAACCCGAAACCCCACTCCCTAAACCCTGAACCCCAAACCCTGAACCCCAATCCCCAAACGCAAAACCCGAGAAACCCTAAACCCTAAACCCTGCATCCCAAACTTTAGCTAAACTTCTCCAGGATGGAAGTCCCAAGTTACAAACCCTAAGCCCCAGTGTCAGAGGTAGAAAGAGGGACCCCTGCAAGGGGCCCTTCAATCTCATTCCCCTATATGAAGCAGGGTATTTTATTTCTGTTATTGGTGAGTGTATATAAGGTTCCTTGTTAATATCGGTGAGTGTGTATACTGGGTGTCCTTGTGGGGGTACAAGAAATATGTACCCTACTTCATATAACCCCTATATAAGCCACAGAGGTTTCTATACACCTTACAGAGTCCCTATATACCCAAAGTAGCCCTTAAATAGCCCCCAAAGAACCCCAAAGGTCCCTGCAAGGGTCCCTCCTTTAGTCCCGTGACTTACTAAGCCCCAAAACCCTAAACCCAAAGGCTTAAACCTTAAACCTTGAACCTTAAACCCTAAACCCTAAACCCTAAACCCTAAACCCTAAACCCTAAACCCTAAACCCTAAACCCTAAACCCTAAACCCTAAACCCTAAACCCTAAACCCTAAACCCTAAACCCTAAGCAGGCAGCCTGGAGAAGTCCAACCGGGTCACGCAGGTCCGCGTGGAGAACATCAAGGCTCCACTTGTCTGGAGGTTTGGGGTTTAGGGTTTAGGGTTTAGGGTTTAGGGCTCCGGGTTTCGGGGTTAGGCGTAGGGGTGCCCCTCTTGGAAGCGGAGGAGGGTAGCCAACTTTTTTTGGGTATCTCCAGGGGTTCCCCTGTTTGGGGAGATGCCCATATATGTGGGGGGGTACCTTCAAAAGAGCCCAGAACTCAGAGAGTCCCCCCTCCCCTCCTTAAAGCAGAATCCGGATACCTAGGCCCCCAGCCCGCAACCCTAAACCCTAAACCCTAAACCCTAAACCCTAAACCCTAAACCCTAAACCCTAAACCCTAAACCCTAAACCCTTGGAGGTCACGGCAGGCAACAACGCTGGCAAGTTCCTCTTCAACGTCAGGCGGCCCTCGAGAGCCAGCAAGTCCAAACCCAAGGCCAAACCTCGAACCCCAAAAACCCCGGTTTAGGGTTTAGGGTTTAGGGTTTAGGGTTTAGGGTTTAGCGTTTAGGGAACCCCAAGCCCTAAACAGTAAACCCTAAACCCCGAGCCCTAAATAGAGCAGAGCCCCAAACCCTAAACCCCGAGCCCTAAATAGAGCAGAGCCCCAAACCCTAAACCCCGAGCCCTAAATAGAGCAGAGCCCCAAACCCTAAACCCCGAGCCCTAAATAGAGCAGAGCCCCAAACCCTAAACCCCAAGCCTTCCTTGGGGTTTGGTGGCGGCTTTGGTGTTTTCCTCTGTTGGAAGTTCAGAGTGTAGGCTTCGGGTTTAGGGCTTAGGGCCTAGGGTCGAGGGCCCTAAACCCTAAATTTAAGAGCCTCCGGCCGCCGACCCCGCTAGAGCATAGTTGAAAGGTTTGAACGCGCTCGTCAGCTCAAAGGATGCCAAAAGTTGATTTGCTTGAGCCTCTGTGAAACGTTGGGGGGGGGTAGGGGGGTAGGGGTAGCACCAGGACCCAAACAGGAGCTGAAGCCAGCTTGAAGGCGCTGCCCCATCAATTCAAGCCCAACAACCGGAGAGGGGGGGGTAGTGGGGGTAGGGGGGGGGTGGGGGGGGGGGGGGAAGGGGGGGAAGGGGGGGGGGGGGGGTGGGTATAAAGGGGGGGGGGGTTGGGGGGGGGGTGGGGGGGGGGGGGGTGGGAAAAACCCAAAGGACCCCTGTGCGAAACCGCCTATGGTCCGTGATTTTATGCGGTGTGGGTGGCCTGGCCCTCCATGGAAAAGCTGCCCGGGTACCCCCCCGCATTTTGGGCGGACCTTAAACCTTAAACCCCAAACCCGAAATCCCAAGCCCTAAACCCCAAACCCTCAACCCCAAACCCTAAACCCTAAACCGTGACTGGGCAGGTACGCGAATGAGCGGGCCGGGCTCCACACGAAACTCTTCGCGAAGGCCTTCGCCTCAGCGCTCGTTCCTTTTTTTTTTTTTTTTTGGGGGGGGGGGCTAGGGTTTAGGGTTTAGGGTTTAGGGTTCAGGGTTTAGGGTTTAGGGTTTAGGTTTTAGGGTTGGGGGAGAGAAGGGAGTTCCCTAAGAGTACAGCCCTTCTCCCTAGACTCCCGAGCAGGAAGACCTGAATCCTAGGCTCCGACACTCTAAACCCTGGCCCTAAACCCTAGCCTAAACCCTGGCCCTAAACCCTAGCCCTAAACCCCAACCCTAAACCCTAGCCCTAAACCCTAGCCCTAAACCCTGATCCGGTTCAAGTCGTGCCTTGTTGGAGAGTGATGTTGGGGCCAAGGTGCCTTTCCAGATGACCAAGGAAACGAAGCAGGCGGGTTTAGGGTTTAGGGTTTAGGGTTTAGGGTTTAGGGTTTAGGGTTTAGGGTTTAGGGCTTAGGGCTTAGGGCTTAGGGTTTAGGGTTTAGGGCGTCCGGTGTATGGGATTCAGGGCCTTGTGACTTTGGAAGGGACCATGCACCTTCCTTAAGAGCATATTTTGGGGTCCGGTGCCGTACCATATATAGGACCCCAAAAGGGACCCTTTAAAAAGCCCCAATTTAGAGAACTACACCTATTTTTGCATATTACAGTACCTTGAGATTTTTCGCCCCTGAGCTAAGCCTAAGCCTAGAAAAGGAGCCTTTTTTTTGGAACTGCACGTATTATCTCGCATTATAGTGCATTGCGAGTTTTTCGTCCAAAAGCGAAACCTAAGCCCTAAACCTAAACCCCAGGCAAGGGAACACTTTTGGTAGCCTAACCCCTATAAATCCCTAATAAACCTCCGATAAACCCCTATAAACCCATATAGACCCCAACAAACAGGTATCAACGCCCCCTACAAACCCAGTATAGACCGCTATGCAACCCTATACACCCTGCTCTGAATCCCTAACACAAACCCCCAAAAACCCTTGCAGGCCCGTATAAACCCCTCGGTTCACACATCAGCAGCCAGGACCGTCTCAGCAGCTCGGTGCTGAAGCAGCCGATGGACTTCTTCGAGATCAACACCTACAGGCCACTTTTGCTCCTTGTGATGCACCCTATGAACCCCTATAAACCCCTAGAAAACCTCGATAAACCCTATGAACCCTATGAACCCTTATAAACCCTATGAACCCCTTAACACCCGATAGCCCCCTTGCACACCCCTATGAAAACCCCTGCAATCCCTCAACCCCAGAGGTGTCCTTCGCAGCGCACGGGCTCGAGCAGGTGTCCCCCGAAACGCGAAGGCGCCATGCCCTCAAGCCCTCCCCCGCAGGGCTACGAGCCTCCCGTCGCCTTCAAGTTATGTCCACCAGGCTGGTTTAGGGTTTAGGGTTTCGGGTTTCGCCTTCATGTTCTGCCATCTACTGGCTTGTTCTTTGGCTTTTTTGTTTAATTACCCTCTTTCCTTATCTGGGAACCCCATAAAGTAATGTTCAAAGGGTTTAAATCACAAAGTACATATGCACATACATATTCGTATACATACATACGTAGATACATATATATATATATGTATGTATGTATGTATGTATGTATGTATGTATGTATGTATGTATGTATGTATGTATGTATAGACATGCGTAGTTATACGAGTATTGTGTTACATCAGAAATGAATATTACGTTCACGTTGCTTTTTGCATCAAACTGATTATATACTTGGGCTGTTAAGTCCCTGTATAGGAGGTGCTTTAAGGCCCAATGCCAAGTACATACTAATTAGGTACATGGACCCTAAACCCTAAACCCTAAACCCTAAAGCCCTAAAGCCCTAAAGCCCTAAAGCCCTAAAGCCCTAAAGCCCTAAAGCCCTAAAGCCCTAAAGCCCTAAAGCCCTAAAGCCCTAAAGCCCTAAAGCCCCCATAAAGCCCTAAAGCCCTAAAGCCCTAAAGCCCTAAAGCCCTAAAGCCCTAAAGCCCTAAAGCCCTAAAGCCCTAAAGCCCTAAAGCCCTAAAGCCCTAAAGCCCTAAAGCCCTAAAGCCCTAAAGCCCTAAACCCTAAACCCTAAACCCTAAACCCTAAACCCTAAACCCTGGCCCTAAACTCTAAACCCCAGCATATATTTCTTAGGTACATGGACTGTCAGGGTTGGTCTCAGATTGCCTCAAAAAGCGGGCTGTGGTGCAATTTCCCGGTGGCCAAGTCCATGCGCCATGAAAGGTTTAGGGTTTAGGGTTTAGGGTTTAGGGTGTAGGGTTTAGGGTTTAGGGTTTAGGGTTTAGGAAAGATGGCTGCAACCGCAGGCGGCCTTTATGTCCACCTGGCATCCATGGTCTTCAAAGACTGTGTGAATGACGTGTACCAGATTTTCCTCTTTGCATCGAACAGTGCCGGGGTCTGAGGTGTTCCATCTCACATGTCAGGGTTTACCATCTGCATGACACCCTAAGGGTCCATGTACCTAATTGTTATACATACTTGGGCCTTGCAGTACCTCCTACGCAGGGACTTTAGGGCCCAAGTATGTAATAATGAGAGACATGGACCCTTAGGGACAGCTCTAAGCCCTATTACTCCAGAATGGGTTTCGGGTTCAGGATCTAGGGTTTAGGGTTTAGGGTTTAGGGTTTAGGGTTTAGGGTTTAGGGTTTAGGGCAGTAGAGTGAGCCAAGGATTGGACGTTTGCGGGTTTCCTGATCTTCTTCGAGGTGCTTGTCGCTCTTGCGTGCGCAAGGGCTTTGAGGACGCCCCTCCCAGCCAGCACCCCCTGCGCCGAAGTCCAAGCGACGTGGCAGCCCAGTGGTACCCTTTACCCTTTTTTTGGCTCTGGGTTCCCTTATACAGTAACCAACCCCAAAAAAGGGTGCCCGTGTCATAAGATGGTTACTGGGCTACTGAGGCGAGCGTGCGCCAGGGAGGCGAGACTTACAAGTGGTTCAGCTTCAATCTCGCGCAGCTGGCGCTGGAGGCGCCGGCTGCGGCGCTGATAGCACCCTACGCGATGATCTTCACCCCTCAGCTGGGATGGCTTGATGTGCTCAGTGGCATCTACAGCTTGATGAGCTCGTCGATAGCACTGGGCTCCACTTGCAGTGGTCCCGCAGGATATCCCTTCCATCCCAGGGCCGTTAAGGCGGTCCGGCCGAAGTTGTCCTTCATGCTTGGGGTTTGGACTGCTTTGCATTGCGCAGGCGAGTTTACGCTCTTTGCGGTGACGTCCCGGGTATTTCACCCGGTGGTGCCTCTTGGGTCCTACGTCGTTGCCGCAGTTGTGAACAGCGTGTGCACGCGGTCATTCAATCAAGCGCACCCATTTTCTGGAGAGTATCTAGGATGCCCAGTAGTACCCTTATTCCCTTTTTGGGGGGGTTTAGGTTCCTTTTCAAGCAAAAAAGGGCACCCTTTTCAAGCCTAGGTTACTGGGCAGCCTAGGTATCGGCATCGACACCCCGACTCGCCTCCCACCTTCAAGTGGGCCCGGTACCCCAAGCTGCAGATGCTGAGTAGCGCAGTGGTACCCTCTTCCCTTCTTTTGGTTATGGGTTCCCTTATAAATTTAACTAACCCCAAAAAAAGGGTGCCCTTATTGTAATTATGGTTGCTGGGCTACTACAAGTGGGTGCCCCCTTACTATACTACTATGTACTACTATAGCTAAGGGACTTAGAGCCTGAGTTAGGATCCTTATAACCCTATGTAGGGCCCATATAATTCTACTTATAACTAGGGGGGCCCCTCCTTGTAAGGATGCTGCTATCCAGCCTTGTGTATCCCTTGGTAGACTTCGGCGGGCTACCATGGCGGGCCAGCGGGGAGTCTCTGCAGGGCCGGGTGGGCGCGGGAGTTCAGCGCAGGCCACGCCCTTCCCGAGATCCTTTACATGCTCCTGCGGTACGTAGCTATAGCCCAGTGGTACCCTTTTCCCTTTTTGTGGTTCTGGGTTCCCTTATAAAGTAACTAACCCCCAAAACAAGGGTGCCCTTGTGATAATATGGTTTCTGGGCTACCAAGGTAGGCATGGCCCTTGCATGCCTGCTTCTAACTTTGGAGCATGGGCTGCTGCCTCTTGGCACCCTCGGCCGACCCATGGGTTGGCCCGTTCTTGAAGCCGAGTTTCTGGTACCGGCAGCGGAGGTGTGGCGCTTGGTGACGTGTCAGGGGCCGGCATGCACGTCTACAAGCCAGGGTGTCCAGGCAGTCTTCCGTGTGCTGCTTCTGCTCATCTGTCTCGTTGCGCTGCTCGTGCACATCCTTCTCACGCTGGGAAATCTTGCGTTCAACCCTACCTTCCGGGGAGCTGAGTTGAACGAGGAGCTGTTTCAGGAAATCGAAGAAAAGGAGCGAGAGATACAAGCTTGGATGAGCTTGCAAGAATCTGCAGCGGTTTCGGACATTCACCTGTCGCGTGCTGGGAGAAGTGGGCAAGACTGCTCCTGCAAGGAGGGCCGCGCTTTTGAAGACAAGTCGGTGCAAACGTCAGCTGCCGACATGCCAGAAGGACCCTGCCCGCAGTCCGACGACGAGAGTGTGGTGGTCGAGTTCTGATTCTACTATGTGCTTAAGAACCCCAAAAGAATCAAGGATAATAATCCCTATATTACTCATAAGAAGTAAGACTGTTTTGTTGTTTCGGGGTTCTGAAGCAATTAGTAGGACTGGGTTCAGGCACAGTGCACACGTCCCGTGCATCGATCGGCTCATTTGTTCAATTTTGGGGGACTCTCAAGGACAGCCCCCAAGACGTACACCCTTCACTCTAAACCCTGAACCCTAAACCCTAAACCCGAAACCCTATACCCTATACCCTATACCCTCTAAACCCTAAACCCTAAACCCTAAACCCTATAAACCCTTCACCTACACGGAAACCTCCGAGCTTGTCCGGAAGTTCCCCTCAGCAGAAGCAGCGCTCCCAGAGTCGCCGCTATCTCGAGGGCCTTCTTGACTGTCCTTCGTGGTGGTGTGAGTGGTGCCTGATGAGGGTTTAGGGTTTAGGGTTTAGGGTTTAGGGTTTAGGGTTTATGATGCTACTTCTTGCTTCAGAACCTCCCAAAGAAGCTACGTGTATCTTGATTGCACCACCGCATGCTGCCACAGCTTCGGTAGACTTCGTGATGCCACGAGCTCCGGGCGCAACCGCGCATCAATCCTAAACCCTAAACCCTAAACCCTAAACCCTAAACCCTAAACCCTAGACCCTAAACCCTAAACCCTAAACCCTAAACCCTAAACCCTAAACCCTAAACCCTAAACCCTAAACCCTAAACCCTAAACCCTAAACCCTAAACCCTAAACCCTAAACCCCAACCTGTAAGGCTGTAAATCCTGCTAGCAATGAGCTTGCACTGGACCAATGGCCATCCACACATCCCAGAAAACCCTTACGTACTGTCTAAGCCAACCTGATCCTATAGGGTTTAGGGTTTAGGCCCCTAAACCCTCAACCCCAAACCTTAGGGTTTAGGGGTTTGTGTCGGCCGCGCTGCGCCGCGCTTGACAGGGAAACCCTCAGCCGCGGGCTCCAGCACCACAGCCCCCCGGAACAGACTCCTGGGTTTTGGGGTGTAGGGTTTAGGGTTTAGAGTTTAGGGTTTAGGGTTTCGGGTTCTGGGTTCCTATCATAGCTACTTATGCCCAAATGGTATACACTTATTCTCCAGGGTCTGCTCCAAAGTAGGGACTCGCAACCGATGTTGGAGCAGTCACAGCCCACAGACCCTAAACCCCAAGAGTTGTGAGTGAAGTCAGCCGATGGACCCTAGACCCTAAACCCTAAACCCTAAGCCCTAAACCCCAAACCCTAAACCCTAAACCTCTCTCACTTTATATATATATATATATGTATATATGATATGTATAAACCCTCGTGGACTCTTTTTCGGGGCGGCAAGTACGGCTCTGCCACGAGTGCGGGTCTGGCCCTGCAAGGTCTGACGTCACGTCCTCGGCCAAACGCCCATTGGGCGCTTAGGCATTTAAAATCCCCTAAGCCCGAAACCCTAAACCCTAAACCCTAAACCCTAAACCCTAAACCCTAAACCCTGAACCCTAAACCCTAAACCCTACTGCAAAGGAGCTGCTTCTGCTTTTGTTGTTGAGCTGCGTGGCTTGTCATCAAGAGTCACGCCGTGTTGAACCTGCAGACCAGACTTGAGAAATGTGGCCTCCGGTAAAATTCAAAAAGCTTCCTGACGAGTGCGCAGAAAAGGATGCAACCGCAGATGTCTTTATGACATCATTTCGGAGGGTCACGCGGGAAATGCTGGCATAAGGCTTTGTGGTACTTTACCGTAACTTTAGATCCTTACCTTTTTTGTGTTTATTGGGTTTCTTAGTAAGGCAGCTAAAAGTTTAATTTATAGCTACCCTCCTGAGTGCAGCCAAGTTCCAAGCCTACAAAGTTCGCGCGGCCTGCGGTTCATCGCCTGGACTGCCGCAAAGCATAGACTGCTGCAAAGCGCGTAGAGAAGAAAGAGCACAAAGCTTCAGACGCTCTTCACCCTTACTAGTCTCCGCCGCAGTTGAAGCAAGGATACCTTACTAGCAAAGTAGCATAAGAGCCCCCACAAAAAAAACAACAAGAATCCCTAGATTGCCCTTGTAAGGAATACTTGCTTGAGGGGTTCTTATAAGCAAATAGTAGTCTAACCCGGATCTTCCAAGCCGGCGAATGAAGGAAGAAACCCGAATTCATAACTATGGTCCTTAGTCCTTAGGATAAAATTAGGGCATTAGTCCTTCATTAAAGGGTTTTGGAAAATCTGGGCTATAAACCCTAAAAACCCAGTAAACCCTACAAACCCTATACACCTGTTGGCAACCCTATAAGCATCTTTGAATCCTACACAGCCCATCAGCCCTACGAAACCGAACTCAGAATTGTGGTCCTTAGGATGAACTTAGGGTATCGTTCCTTAGCTAAGGGCTTTTCGGGAAGATCTGGGAAGCCCTAAAACCCTAAACCCTAAACCCTAAACCCCAAACCCCAAACCCTAAACCCTAAACGCTAAACCCTAAACCCTAAACAAAAAAAAGTCTCCCGAGTCCTCGGAGGCTCGCCGAGACGACGCTGCCCGTCCCAACGCCGAAGTTCTACTACGGCGACATCAGCAACCTCACCTCGCGCCTCGGTCTAGGGTTTTGGGTTTAGGGTTTTGGGTTAGGGTTTAGGGTTTAGGGTTTAATTAGGGTTTAGGGTTTAGGGTTTAGGGTTTAGGGTTTAGGGTAGTTGCATGTATGACTCGAACCCCTAAACCCTAGATTCCCCCCTACACCCTCAAGCCTATTCCGACCGCGTTGGTGTTGTTGCAACCCCTCTGCGTTGCCTCCGAGGACTTGAACGATCTTAGGGTTCAGGGTTTAGGGTTTAGGGTTTAGGGTTTAGGGTTCAGTGTTCAGTGTTCAGTGTTCAGTGTTCAGTGTTCAGTGTTCAGTGTTCAGTGTTCAGTGTTCAGTGTTCAGTGTTCAGTGTTCAGTGTTCAGTGTTCAGTGTTCAGTGTTCAGGGCTTAGGGTCGGTTTTCGGGGTCTCATGCAAAGGCTCTTGGCCCAGGTCATGCTCTGGCCATTCGCGCGCAGTGGTAACATGGGTGTTGTCATCGAGCATGGACCCCAACTGATAGCAACCACTTATCGCGGGTTCCCCTACTACCCCCCTCTATACTACCCCCCAGGTTCCCCCCCTTAAATCGCCTGAATTCGGCTTGATTATCCCCAAAATAGCTTGGGCAACCAAGGGCCCTTGGGGGGTAGTATAGGGGGGGGGGGGGTCGGGGGGGGTGGTAGGGGAACCCTACTTCTACTCGTAGAAGGGATCTTCGTCGAAGAGGGCGCTGCTTGTTTAGGACCACCCCCAAGCATCAAGGAACTTCATCCTCATCACCGAGAGGGTTCCTTTTGTGGAGATGGATGGAAGGACCGCCCCGCGGCAGCTCTGCCCGGACCTCCAAACCCTAAACCCTAAACCCTAAACCCTAAACCCTAATGTTGCACCCCTTTTAGTGGGGCCCCTTGAATAAAAGTCAAATTGACTGGGCTATTCAGGGCACCCAGAACGTTTGGGGGTGCAGACCAGGTCCCTGTTTAAAGTCAAATCGTTCCGTGGGGAGCACGAGGCATTACGCCCTGTAAACCTTTAGGGCGCGCCAGCAAGCTAGGAAAACAAAGGGGCTTGCGATTGTTAGGATTTGGTAGGGAATTAGGGTACCTAAGCTGGAAAAACCTAAGCCCCTAAACCGAAACCCTAAACCCTAGCCCTAAACCCTAAACCCCGAAACCCTAAATCCTAAACCCAACAAGCCTACAAATATTCGAGCTGAGGGTTTGTGGGGGTGAGGGTTTAACGTTTAGGATTTTTGTTGGGTATAAGGGTTGCCTGTACTGATCCCGATGCCATGTGGGGAAGCCTTTTCGATAGTGAAGAAGCCCGCAACCTGGCCGTTAGAGCTTAGAACTATACCTTGATCCCTAACCCTAAACCCTAAACCCTATAATATATACACTGAACCCTAAACCCTAAACTCTAAACCCTAAACCGCCTAAGCTCCTGCCTCAAGGTGCAGGAGTCCCGACAGCGGAGTGTGTGCTGAAGGCTCTGTCCATCAAAATGCGGCCCTGACGCGGGAGATCATGTCGCTTGCCCTTGCCACCACAACAGAAATTTGGGAGGCGAAGCAGGAGAAGTGGTGCAAATCGAAATGAGTGTCAGGCGCATGATGTACTTTGTGATGAGCCCGTTTAGGGTTAGAGGGCTTTTGTAGGAAGCCGAAGCCCACGGATCCTTGAAGGCGTAGGCCGTAGGCCCCTCGTCACAGGCGCCCAAATCCCTAAAGCCGTAAGGGTTTAGGGTTTTGGGTTTTGAGTTATAGGGTTTAGGCACCAAAACAAGCCTTTAAGCCAACAACCCCTACTTCCCCACCCTAAACCGTAACCCCTGACAAGCCAGAGAGCAGCCCCACAGCCCTCAACCCGAAACCCTAACCCTAAACCCCTAAACCCTGAACCCCACCGCCCGAAACCCGAAACCCTGGAGAGCCAGAGAGCGCAGGAAGCGCAGCCGCAAGCTGAAGCCCTTTGAGGCAGCCCGTGCCCTCCAAGACCTGATACAGCCCCTCTAAGCCTGGGAAAAGAGTTTAGGGTTTAGGGCTAGGGTTTAGGGTTTAGGGTTTGGGATTTGGGGTTTGGGATTTGGGGTTTTGGATTTGGGGTTTGGGGTTTGAGGTTTGGGGTTTGGGGTTTAGGGTGTGGGGTTTCAAAGAGAAAAAAGCCCTCAGCTGGGAGTTCCTCTGCATCCTTCTTTCAGAATACGCATGAAGAGCAAGACAAAGAAAGGGGGGCAGATATCTATCAAGGGACTCAAGGAGGGATGCTTATGAGGGGACCTTGGAAGTTATTTAGAGGTTATTTTAGGGGGCTACTTACTTAGGTATATAGGGACTATAATAAGGTGTATATGGCGTTATATAGGGGAATAAGATGAAGGTGATTTAGGCTCTACTTACTTAGATATCTAGGGACTATAACAAGGTATGTATGATTATAAAGGGAAATAAGATGAAGGGCCCCTTCTAGGTAGGGGTCCCTCCTTCAACCCCTTAAGTCTAGTCCCAGACGGCGCAGGGCCACCCACAAACACCCTAAGGACACTTAAACGAAACAAATCAAATCCCCCAAGCCCTAGGCCCAACAAACAGGGTTTAGGGTTTAGGGTTTAGGGTTTAGGGTTTAGGGTTTAGGGTTTAGGGTTCAGGGTTTAGGGTTTAGGGTTTAGGGTTTAGGGTTTAGGGTTTAGGGTGTAACCCTAAGACTTTTTCAAGAACAACCAGGACCCAGAGTAGGCCCTTGTTCCCTTTGTTTAGGGTTTTGGTTTCCGTATAAGCCCCTTTAAACCGCGCCCTTGTTATTCCCAGGTTACTCTTGGGTCTAGCCCTAAACCTGAAACCCTAAACCCAAACCCTAAACCCGAATCCGTGGATTTACAAGAGCAAGGGGCAAAACCTCAGTGCTCTCCCGCAGCAGGTCGAGGGGCCGTACGACAAGTGCAAGGACCGGACCATCCGACCACAAAGATGCCTGCTGGCGGTTTAGGGTTTAGGGTTTAGGGTTTAAAGGGTTTAGGGTTTAGGGTTTAGGGTTTAGGGTTTAGGGTTTAGGGTTTAGGGAATGATTGTATACAATCCTTTAAAGGGTAGACCTAGACCCTAGAACCGAAACCCTAAGGCCCTAGACCCTATAAACCCTATACAGTACAACCCTTCAGAGGGCGGATCTAGGGGGATATAAGGTTCAGGCATTGAGGCGCTGAGGGACTTTCATGTCTTGGGGTCCAAGGCTAGCCCTATGCCCTAAGCCCTAAACCCCAAACCCTAAACCAAACCCAAGAAACCTAAACCTAGGTACAGGGTTGTAGTGTTTGGGAGGCTTCCTGGTGCTCAAGGACAGAGCTTGGGGTTTAGGGTGTAGGGTTTAGGGTTTGGGGTTGCAAGGGTTGCAGGGGTGGAGGTCTTTTGGGGCTATTCTAGGGTTGCAAGGCTGCTTGGAGGTTTGGGGGCTTGACTGTATAAGAATCCACTCTTCCGCTCCTCGTAGGCTAAAAAGGAACTCTCCTACATGCAATTGCACGTGACAGCACAACCTCCCAAGCCTAAACCCTGAAGGCTAGACCTTATAAACCCGAAGCCCCAAACCCTAGCCCTGAACCCTAAACCCTTGAAGACGCAAACCCTAAGCCGTAAAGACCTCCCGCACGAAGGACTACCAACTCCGCGGCAGCGCCAAGGAGTACTACAGCAAGATTATGGAGGCCTGGTCTCCTGGCGCCCGAGACCATATCATCCCCCTTGGGAATTATTTTGTATTTTTGTTTTTCTACACCCAAGAGGATATAAACATATAGTTTTTTAAAGGTTCTAATGGGAGTATAGGCAATTTCGGGCTCAGGGTTAGGGTTAGGGTCTAGGGCTTAGGGTTTAGGATTTAGGGTTTCAGGCTTCGATCTTGCCTCGTGGGCAACTAAAAATACGTGGGAAGTAGTAGCCCCCCCCCCCCCAATGGGCGTTGTTTGTTTTAGTTCGTCTTTCTCTGCATTTCTTTTTCCATACTTTTGAGAACTGACCAGATAGCTATGTGGGGGTTGTTCTGCTCGAAAGGTCCTATAACGGCATGCACGATTGGGATCAGAGTCCCGTAGAACAGACTCCTTACTTCCTAGATAGGAACTTGCCTGATGTTCTCACCCGCACCCTCAGGGTTTAGGGTTTAGGGTTTGGGGTTTAGGGTTTAGGGTTTATCGTTTAGCCATCATACCCTAAACCCTGTAAACCCTAAACCCTAAACCCTGCAGCCGAAGTCTCTGCACGAACTTCCGAGAGGTGAGCGGACAGATTGCAGGGGCAGACAAGTCGGGGAGGCCGGGGTTTAGGGTTTAGGGTTTAATGTTTAAGGTTTAGGTTGCCCTAAGCGCCCAAACCTGTAAGCCCTAAAGCTTGTGACCCTAAACCCGTAAATCCTACACCCTAAACCCTACATCCTAAACTCCTAAAGGGTCTGAAGTAGGCGGCCTTACGTTTTCAGGTACTTTAGGAGGTCGGGCGTAAGGAGTGAGGGGTTTGGGGGTTTACGGGGTTCAGGGGTTAGGGTTGAGGGGTTGAGGGTGTTTAAGGGTTGCTTGAAGTTGGTAGATCAATTTCGTTTGTTGTCCCCAAACACCCGAAACTGCAAACGTCAAGCCGTCCGGAAGAGCCGCGTCCAAGCAAGTCAGGATTTATGGCTCACAGGTTTCGGCTAGCTACTCTAAACCCTAAACCCAAAACCTTACAGACGTCCTGGAGGGCCAATGCCAGAAGACCCTCAGCTCTGCACCCTCAACCCTAAACCCTAAACCCTAAATCCTAAAACCCTAAACCCTAAACCCTAAACCCCTAAGCCCTGCACTCGTCCCAGGATGGGTTCGCAGGACCCCTCGTGAGCACAGCGCGTCTGTCTGGGAGGGTTTGGGCAGTTTGGGGTTTCCTTAAAACCTGAACCCTAAACCCTAAGCATCCCTAAACCCTAAACCTGAGTCCTGAACCTGGATTTGGGGCTTATGATCTCCAGAGACCTTGGGATATGGTTTCGTTGGTTTGATTCTCTCTGTCTCGGTCTCTCTCTTTCTCTCCCTCTCTCTCTCTCTATATGTTTGTGTGTGTTGTAACCCCAAAATCCCCAACCCCAAGAATCCTAAGCCTAGACCCCATTAAACACCGAAACATCCCTAAACACCCTGAAAACCCTTAAAACACCCTTCGAAACCAGCAACACCAGTAACAAAAGCCCGGAAAAGCCCTAAGAATCCGTAAACCCTGAGCCTTTTTTGGGTGGGCTCCTCCCAGTCCATTTCTGAGCCTTTTCGGGCCCTCCTCCCGGACCATTTCTGAGCCTTTCTTGGGCTCCTCCCGGACCATTTCTGAGCCTTCTTGCCTTTCTGAGCCTTTCGTGGGCTCCTCCCGGACCATTTCTGAGCCTTCTCCTGGACCATTTCTGAGTTTTTTTGGGTTCTTTCTCCCGGGCCAGTTCTGTTTTTTTTTTGCTTCCCCCGTTTCCCAGACCTGTTCAAAGCTTGTTTGGGCTGAGGCTTGCTGGGCTTCTCCCGGACCATTTCTGAACCTTTTTTTGAGCTTTCTCCCGGACCATTTCTGAGCCTTTTTTGGGCTTCTCGCAAGCCATTCCTTGGATCCTTGCATATGCAGGAGGCCGGGCACCAAGACTTGGATGGGGTTCAAGGTACTTGTAGCGAAAACCATGTTTTCTGTTAGGATGCATTTCCAATAAACGAGGATCATGATGGAATATGTAGGCAAGAGAAATAGAATAACATTCATACAAAAATATTCATCAAGCATGATTTAATTTGGAAGGGGCACTGTAGAGATGTGTTATACTAGGATGCGTTATAGAGTTGCTCTTGTATAAGTGTATTTAGACTTATTTTAAGGGGCTGCGCCCATGGGCGGGCAGCGCAGTCAGAAGCGCGGGGCGAGCAGATCCGTCAAGGGTTTAGGGTTTAGGGTTTAGGGTTTAAGGTCTTATGCCCGCCCTTTGGGGGGCATCATGCTCCTGATGCGCCCCCGGGTCCCGCCCCGGGAGCCGCTGATGCTCCTGATGCGCGCCTGGGGGTCCCGGGCTGGACCCGCTGATGCTCATGATGCGCGCCCTCTGGGGGCTTCCGTGGCGACGCAAAAAACCACGAAAAAAAACCGTTCACCGGCGGCACGCGGGGGTCGGCGGCACTGGCGTCCGGCCTAATTCTGCTTCGCAGAAGGCCAGAGGCCAGCAAGGCTATTACCGGGACGACCCGGGCTAAAAGGTCCGCATTTGCTCGGTCCTTTGGGGACCTCGCGCTGCCCGATTTAATGGCTACCGCCAGTGCCGCCGACCCCAGACCCAAGACAGTCGCATTGGGGCGGAAGGCAGGGTGGAGCGCGGGCAGGCGGGGGGGGCGGGGGCGGGGGGGGTGGGGGTGGGTGGGGGTGGAAAGGGGGGCGGCGGGGGTGGGGGGTGTGGGGGGTGACGGTAGAGGGTTGGTGTCGGATTAGGGAGTTGGGGGCGGAAGGCAGGGGTGGACTGGGGGGCATAGAGATGAAGAAGCGATGAGAGCGGTGAGAGCGGGGGGGCGGTCGGATGGTGCACGATGGTGGGAGGGGGTAATGATGAGGGCTGGGGAGGGTTGGTGGGAGGGTTAGGGAGTGGGAGGGGGAGAGGGTGGGGGCGGCTGGCGGAAAGGGGGGCCTGACTCATTTGACCAGCTCTGGTGAGAGGGTTGGGGCGGAAGGCAGGGTGGAGCGCGGCGGGTGGACAGGGGAGGTGACGGTTGAGGGTTGGTGGAGTTGGGGGCGGAAGGCAGGGGAGTGATGAGAGCGGGGAGGCGGTTAGGGCGGGCTTGGATTGGAATCCCTCAAACTAGAGATTTGTCAGGGCGGAGTAGGGGGTAGGGGCCTAGGAGGGAAGGGATGGGGGGGGTGGGGGGGGGTGGGGTTTCAGAGTCGAGGGTGGGGGGTTGAGGGCAAAGGGTTGGTGTCAGGGAGGGGTGGACTGGGGGGCATAGGGAGGGGGAGTGATGAGAGCGGTGAGAGCGGTGAGGGCGGTCAGGGCGGGCATGGACTGGAATGCTTAAAACACTAGAGATTGGTCAGGGGGTGGTCGGGCATGCACTGGACCCTTTAAACCACCTGAATGGATGGGGTGGGGGGGGGTCAAAGGTCCAATTCAAGGCGTCATGGGTGAGGGCGATGGGTGGTGGGGTTTGGGCATGCACTGAAGCCAAACAATGCAAAAACACTCCAATTCAAGGTGTCATGAGCAGCATGCTGTGAGAGCGGGTGAGGGCGGTGAGGGCGGTGGGGGGTCTTCACTGACGCCGCCCTGCTACCGCTGGGGTCGGCGGATATCGTATGTTTAAAATTCTTTTGTAAAAAATAAGCCAAAAGAACCCGAAAGGTCTCAGGCTCATATATATATATATATATATACATATAGATATGTGTGTGTGTGTGTGTGTGTGTGTGTGTTGTAACCCAAAAAATGCCAAACCTCAAGAATCCTAAGCCTCGACCCCACCAAATCACCGAAACATCCCTAAACGCCCTGAGAGAACCCCGAAAACACCCTTCGAAACCAGCAACACCCTTATATAACAAAAGCCCTGAAAAGCCCTAAGAAACCCTAAACCCTAAGACCTAAACCCTAAACCCTAGACCCTAAACCCTAAACACTAACCCTAAACCCTAAACCCCCCCCCTTCCCAGGAGTTCTTGGCCCAGAGCTACTCTACGCCCCGGGCCAGACTCGGTGACCCCCAGGCAGCTTGGGGGGTTTAGGGTTTAGGGTTTAGGGCTAGGGTTTAGGATTTAGGGCTAGGGTTTAGGGTTTAGGGCTACGGGTTTCGGGTTTGGGGTTTGGGTTATAAAGTTTGTGTGTGTCTTAGTGTTCTTGGGTTTTTTGGAGCCAGGGTTTAGGGTTTCGGGTTTGGGGGTTAGTGTTTAGCGTTATAAGCTTGCATGTGTCTTAGTGTTTCAGGGTTTTTGGAGCCGGGGTCTAGGGTTTGGGCTTTAGGAAGTTTGGGGGTTTAGGGTTTTTGCTTGAGTCCAGCATGCGCTTGCACTTTAGGGTTTAGGGTTTAGGGGTTAGGGTAGGGTTCAAGCAGGGTTCGCAAACCCTACTAAAGCCCCGAAACCCCTAAACCCTAAACCCCGAACCCTACACCCCAAACTCCAAACCCTTAACCGCAAACCCGAAAGCTCCTAAACGCCCAAACCCTAGCACCCTCACCCCCGAGACCGTCAAAACCCACGTTTGCGATTTAGGGGGCTTAGGGATTCGTGGGTATCGGGTTTAGGGGTTTAGGGCGTTTAGGGCGTCCCTAAACCCTAAACCCTAAACCCTAAACCCTAAACCCTAAACCCTAAACCCTAAACCCTACCCTAAACCCTAAACCCGAAACCCGAAACCCGAAACCCGAAACCCTAAACCCTAAACCCTAAACCCTAAACCCTAAACCCTAAACCCTAAACGGTTGGGGTTCTAAACCCTCCCGTGCACGGCTTTTGATTCGGTAGGCTTGGGGTGTGACTCCGCACGCGGCCTCTGGGGGGCCACCGCAGGCGCGTTCCCAGGGTCGGTTGGCCCCAGGGTTTAGGGTTTACGGTCCCCAAACCCTAAACCCTAAACCCTAAACCCTAAACCCTAAACCCTAAACCCTAAACCCTAAACCCTAAACCCTAAACCCTAAACCCTAAACTGGGTTTGGCAATTCGGGTTGTTTTTTCTGCGGGAATCGGGGCTCAGGGTCTGGGGGTTGCGGGCTATTAGGGTGCAGGGTCTAATATTTGGGGTTTAGGGTTTAGGGTTTAGGGTTTAGGGTTTAGGGTGTTGGAGGGGGTTTCGAAAGAAGGTGTCGGGAGGGCATTAGGGCTTCTTGGGGCTTCGAGGGGGCCTTTAGGTTGATGTTTTGGGGTTGGGATGTTCCCCCTTATACGGTTTAGGGTTTAGGGTTTAGGGTTTAGGGTTTATAGGGCACCCTTTTTATACTCCCTATTAAAAATTGTTAGTATGAGGGGGAACATCCCAAGTTTAGTGTGTGTTAGGGCTTAGGGCTTTTGAGGGTTTAGCGTTTAAGTTGAGGGCTTAGGGCTTCGGTTTGGAGTTGGGTAAAAGGATCCGTGTTCAGGGTTCCCTGGTGGGGGATATGTTTTACTTTCACCTCTTTCCTTAGAAGGGAACCTTCATAGCCATTTTTTCGGAGGGCTTGAAGCACGACTCAGTTCCCGGTTTCAGGAAGAGGGCCCGTGGCTTCAAGGGTTTAGGGTTTAGGTTTAGGGTTTAGGGTTTAGGGTTTAGGGTTTAGGGTGTCTTCTGGAACCTTCTTGGAGGGGGCGGCATCTACATCGGCATGTCCCCCCCCTCTTCAGGCAGTCCACGGAACCTTAAACCCTAAACCCTAAACTCTAAACCCCAAACCCTAAACCCTAAACCCCAAACCCCAAACCCTAAACCGTCATTTTGCAGTCTGCTTGGAAGGGGCAGATGGCGCGTGCCCCAATCGGAAGCAAAGCGACAGCGAAGAATCAAAGGATCAAAGCGCCGAAACGGTGAGGTTTCGGGGTTTAGGGTTTAGGGTTTCGGGTTTAGGGTTTAGGGGCCTACAGCACCTGCTGGGAAGGCTAACTTGGCAAAGCTCAACACGGCCATTCAGTTTTTCTCCGACACCGCCAAGGTGGTTTTCCCAAGCGCCTTCTCTTCATTAGACCTTGGGTCCTCCCCTACCTAAACCCTAAACCCTAAACCCTAAACCCTAAACCCTAAACCCTAAACCCCAAACCCCAAACCCTAAACCCTAAACCCTAAACCCTAAACCCTAACCCCTAACTAAAACCGTCATGTTATGTTCGAAGTTGGGTTTCCGATGTTGGCACCTCTGGGGTATTGCTATGTCCTCGAGTTTGGGGGGCGGGGGGGGGGCAGGTGTCTGAATTGGACCCTTCTGCAACAGTTCCTAATCTCAGGTGGCTATCTGTCGAAGCCTATTGTCACATGGCGCCGTACTGTCTAATGGAAAGATACTCTTGCTGGGTTGGTCTTTCAGAGAATCCTCAACAAGAACTCTTTGTTTTACAGCTTTTCCCAAGAACAGAGGGCTCACATTTTCCCAGATCTTGACCAATAGGCCCGAAAGCCTGCTAAACCTTGAAACCCCAACCTCCAGCGCCGCTACACCCCAAAGCCCGAAACCCCTAAACCCGGAACCCTAAACCCTCAACCCTAAAAAACTCCAAAGCCCCAAACCCGCCAGCTTGTACTCTAACCAAAGCCCAAGACTGCACGTCGCAAGTTCCCTTCTTAGTCGCAAGTTCTCTTCTTCGTGGCTGACTGAGTGCACTTTACACCTTTTGGGCTACTATAATCTCTACAAAGCTACAAGTGTACACTTTTTTGGGGGGCGTTTAGGATCTAAACGCTTAGGGTTTAGGGTTTAGGGTTTAGGGTTTAGGGTTTAGGGTTTAGGGTTTAGGGCCCCTCTTTTGGTGCCCTCAGTAATATTGGGCCGCCTTGTAAGAAGGATCCCTAAAGGGACCATGACTTAGAGAAGCGACCATCGGTTACAGTTGCGCGCGTCCCTTATTGGGGGCGAAGAGGTTGACGTTTAGGAACATGTTCAGAGGGTTTGGGGTTTGGGGTTTAGGGTTTAGGGTTTAGGGTTTAGGGTTTAGGGTTTAGGGTTTAGGGTTTAGGGTGTTCTAGGGACACCCGAAGCCCAAGGCCCCCCCAAACCCTACAAAGCACTAACAAAAGACCCTAAAATCCCTAAAAAGCACAAGAAGCAACTCTAAAAAAAACACAACCGAAAATCCCTGAAATCGCTCAAAATCTCTGTAAGACTCCTGAAAAACTGTAAAAGGCCCTAGAAAGACCTAAAATGCCCTTCAAGGAAGCATCAAGACCTAAAAACCTTAGAAATTCATAAAACAAAAGAAAGCCTAAAACCTAAACAAAAAGAACCTAAAAACCCCTCAAGAAAGCATCAAGGGACCTCCAAAGAAGCGCCACAAGACCGTCGGCCCCCCGAGGCTATGCGTCGGACCCGGCGTGGGAAGCTCGGGGGGTGTGGGGGGGGGGGGGTCTGGAAGCAGCTGGTGTTACCATTCTCATTTCTATTGTGATTATTATAATTATTGTTATTTTATTGTTATTATTATGATTATGATTATTATTTTTGGTTATTATTTCTAGAATTGATTTTTTTGGGGGGGAGGGGGTAGGGTTTGAGGTTTAGGGGGTATTAGGGCCTTCAGGGCTCAGTTTCTTTCGGGGTGGAGGGCCTTTCGGGGGAAGGGCATCCACCAACACCTAGGGTCCTAGGGACATTCCTGGGGGATCAACGCGTTGAACCCTGGATTTGGGCACCTGAACCTCGAACCCTTGAATCATTGAATCCAGTGAGTCCAAATCCCTGAAGGGTTGAGGGCTGAGAGTGTAGGGATTTAGGGTTTAAGGGCTTTGCCAAACCCTCAAAAATCCTCAACCCTCAGCTCTGCGTCCTTAGAAGGTTTTCATATTATTCGAAGAAAATCCTCTGTCTTGAGAAGCCCGCAAAACGCAGGCCGACGCGGCGCCCTTTTAAAACCCTAAAGCCCCCCCCCCCCCCCCCTCCCCACGGCCCCCCCGGTGCATGATGGGCGCGCGTGAGGGGCATCATGCGCGCAAGTGAGGGGTGCAAAGGCACAAGTGAGGTCGGACATGCGAGGGCCAACGTTCGCAAGTTGCGTGCCTCTTGCGAGCTCGAGGTTGATGCTTGCGTCGTTCCGGTAGGCCGTTGGCATGGTATTTTTTTTATGGGGCGCAAGGGTCTAGCATGTCGGGTTTAAGGATTTTTAGAGGGTCCTAAGCCCTAAACCCTAAACCCTAAACCCTAAACTCTAAACCCTAAACCCTAAACCCTAAACCAGTCTAGTCAGGGAGGTCAGGTTGTAGGGTGCAGGACTTGAGCGTGTAGGGGGTGTACGGAATGTAGGGGCCAAGGTTGAGGGTTCAGGGGTTGGGCCTGGGTTACCCTAACCCCAAACCCTAAACCCTGTAAACCCTAAACCCTATAAACTCTATAAACCCTATAAACCCTATAAACCCTATAAACCCTATAAACCCTAAACACCCTAATCACCCTAAACACCCTAAACACCCTAAACCCGAAACCCTAACCCTAAACCCTAAACCCTGGACTTGACGCCGGGGTTGCTTGGCCCTACGAACAAAGAGCCTGAACACCTTCCTATAGTTGGGGGTTTGAGGGTTTAGTGCTTAGGGGTCCTAAACCCCAAACCCCAAACCCCAAACCCCAAACCCCAAACCCTAAACCCTAAACCCTAAACCCTAAACCCTAAACCCTAAACCCCAAACCCTAAACCCTAAACCCTAAACCTCAGGTTTCAGCGCTTAGGTTTTGCTCTCAGTGAGGGTTGACTGTCTTGTGCGAAAAGGGCCGCTAAGGAACAAGAAGCGATCAAGGCCCTATTCCTTCGCTCCCCAAAGGCCGTTTCTTATTCACTATGTAGACCGGGTTGGTTTAAGTAAGTGGGTGGGTGCGTGTTTTTGTGAGTGCCCGGGCTTGAGAGCACGTGCGCTTTCGGTGGGGCCCACATGGTTACGCTGGGTTTCTAGGGTTCAGTTAGGTTTTGGGGGCCTTGGGGTTTGGTTTATGGCTTGTGCACGTTCTGGAACAGTTGGTGGTCACATGTTTGCTGGCTTGTCTTTGTCCAGCATGGCGGAAAGGGAAAGGGTCAGATTCGGGTTTTGGGTTTAGGGTTTAGGGTTTTGGGTTTAGGGTTCAGGGTTCAGGGTTTAGGGTTTAGGGTTTAGGGTTCAGGGTAGGCTTGAGGGTGGAAGAGGCAGGAAGCGAGCCCTGGCCCGGCAAATGCCGTGCAGCACCCGGCAGTCTCATCTCGAACGTTGCGCGGCGCAGCCATCTGTCAAAGAAAGGCAGGGAGGGTTTAGGGTTTAGGGTTTAGGGTTTAGGGTTTAGGGTTTAGGGTTTAGGGTTTAGGGTTTAGGGTTTAGGGTTTAGGGTTTAGGATTTACGGTTTACCCCCTTAGTTGCTTAAGAAACCCCCCAAGAAAACAAAAGAAAATAACACCCCTACTTGCTTAAGAACCCCAAGAAAACAAAAGATGATAGTCCCTATACGACCCTTATAAGGAAGAACATGTCGACTTGTTTTTTTTGGGGGGGGGCTCTTAAGCAATTAAAGTTAGTAGGGTAGGAGTATCAAATTCGCGATGCGCCTTGATCTTGCCGGCCTCACCCTAAACCCTAAACCCTAAACCCAAAACCCTAAACCCTAAACCATAAACCATAAAACCCTAAACCCTGAACCCTAAAAGAGCAGGCAGCCTCACAGTCCATTCTTGCAGGATGACGAAGAACACGTGGGCATTTCCCAAAATCGGGGTACCCTTTGTCTTCCCCACATACAAGAGAATCCCCTTAAAAGGGACGCCCAAAAACTTGGTCATCGTTGGGTAACATTTTGATTTTTAATTGTACTTAAACCCAATAAGGAATACACATTCAGCTTTCTAATATTATCCCAACCATGAACTACCCAAAGAGCCCAATCTTGCTTAATTCAGGCATATACCTTAAATCATGTTCAGGATCCCTGTATGATTTAGGGAATATTCCTTAATTAAGCAATGCTGGGCTTTTTGGGTAGAAAAGGGTGCCCCTAATTTTCGGAAACTCCCAAGTAGGCCTTGCGGCTGCTGAAGTCGTGGGGTTAGAGCGTTTTTTGGGAGGTCGCGGTGCATGGCAGGCCCGAACCCTAAACCCTAAACCCTAAACCCTAAACCCTAAACCCTAAACCCTAAACCCTAAACCCTAAACCTTAAACTCTAAGCACCCAAAACCCTAAACCCCAAACCCTAAACCCTAAACGAAGGTCGGCAACCCTGAGTCCTAAACGCCAAGCCCCTTGTTCCGTTTGAAAAGCTCGACCCAAGAGTAACTTAGGATGAAATGAAGGAAGCCTTTTTTCGGTTTGGGTTTAATTAGGGTTTAGGGTTTGGGGTTTCGGGTTTAGGGTTTAGGGCCGAATTCCCCTTACAAATGCTCATGTGGCCTTTGTTAATCGGGTCACCCGCACAGGGGACCCTAAATACTCCAACCCTCATCGTAAGAACCTCAAAACATGAATGGCCTGAGGGCATTCAGGGCCAAAGCTTCCTTTTTGACATTCGGGGCCGTTGTTTTTTTTTTTTTGCCGGGCCGCTTCTCTGCAAAGGTTCGTGCAAAAGTTCACGAAGACGATGATGACTTTCACGGGCTACTTCAACGAGCTCGAGTTCTGGAAGCACCAGGACTTGAGTGCTCGGCCTTGGCTGGGCGAGGCGCCCCCAAAACGTAAGCTTGTATTGTTATATCTCCTGCTATTTGCTTAAAGAAGGCCCCCAAATGAAAGACAATAAGTAAGCCCTAGATTTTCCCTATAAGGACACATTTTCTTGGGGGCGGGGGAAGTCTTAAGAAAATAGGAGCCCTAAACTTGAGGGTTTAGAGTTTAGGGTTTAGGGTGCTAGGGTTTAGGGTTTAGGGTTTTAGGGTTTTAGGGTTTAGGGGTTCAGGGTTTAGGGTTGAGGACCCGGCCTACGTGGCCCTGTCCCACGCAAACCTCAACGTGGATAACGCCTACTTCTGGCGGGATGAGGCGTGCTTTCAAGGGTTCAGGGTTTAACGGTTTAGGGTTTAGGGTTTAGGGTTTAGGGTTTACTCGTACCCCTGAGGTTGTACCCCTAAAGGTTCCCCTATACTCCTAGTCTGGCCCTTATATTCCCTTAGGGATCTTAAAAAACACCCCAAAACCCTCGGGAACAACCTTCAGGGTCCAAGGTAGAGCCCCTAGGCGCTTGGCGCGCGCTCTGCTTGGGAGTTCGTGGTGGTTCAGGGTTTCGGCTTCAGAGCACCGGGTTGGTGGCCCAAAAGTTCGGAGGGTTAGGGTTGAAGGTTGAGGGTTCGGGGTTCAGGGTTCAGGGTTCAGGGTTAGGGTTTAGGGTTCAGGGTTCAGGGTTCAGGGTTTAGGGTTTAGGGTTTAGGGTTTAGGGTTTAGGGTTTAGGGTTTAGGGTTTAGGGTTTAGGGTTTAGGGTCATGTGTTGCAGCAAAGTTCGGAGGGAGGGGTGCGCCTCACGATGGCAAACCCCATCGCCCTCGAACTTGGAGGAGCTTTCAACGGGCGTAAAGGCTGTGCTTTTGATGTGTTTCATCTGCTTAGTAGCTGAGTGAGTGCACTTTACACTTTTTGGGATAGCATGATCACCTACAGAACTGAAAGTGTTCACTTTTCGGGGCTTAGGACCTCAGCAACTAAGTCTGCATGGTTGCGTGAGGGCAGAATTGGCGCAGACGCAAAGGAGCACATGAGGGAATGAACTTCGTGAGCCGGAAATGTCATACGCCGTGGGAGTCTTTGGCCCTGCGAAGATGGCGGGAGGCCGCACGATGCTCCAGAACAACCCCCCAAGCCTTAAACCCTGAGCTCCCAAAACCCGAAGCCCTAAACCCTGAACTGCCCAAACCCCAAACCCCCCAAACACCCTAACCCATACACCCTACCCTAAACCTTGTAAACTAAAAACCCTATGAACCCTAAACCCTAAACCCTAAAAACCCTAAGCCCAGTTCAGCCTATAAATCCTAAACCCTACACCCTACACCCTAAACCCTAAACCCTAAACCCTAAACCCTAAGCCCTAAACCCTAAACCCTAAACCCTAAACCCTAAACCCTAACCCCTAAACCCTAAACCCTAAACCCTAAACCCTAAACCCTAAACCCTACACCCTACTCTGCGGAGCCCCAGGCTGCCACCCTGCACTGCGGGGTCCTGGACTGGGGGGGGTTTGGCGCCGGCTGCCTCGGCCACAAGGAGCCCAGCAGGGTTTAGGGTTTAGGGTTTAGGGTTTGGGGTTTAGGGTTTAGGGTTTAGGGCTTAGGGTTTAGGGTTTAGGGTTTATAGGCTTTCCTGGGTTTAGGGTTTTTAGGGTTTAGGGTTTAGGGTTCATAGGGTTTATAGGGCTTACAGGGTTTAGGGTAAGTTTTTGGTGTTTGGGCGGGTTCGCGTCTCGGGTTTAGGGGTGCAACTAGGGGCTTAATGCTTAGGCTTTGTGGGGCTTGTAGCATTTAGTGTTTGAGGCTTGAGGACGGCTCAGGATTCTGTACCCCTTGGGCTTTGCCTTAGGGCAGCTGAGAAAACTCATGTTTTTGGTGACGGCAGCGCCCTTCCCTTCGACTCTGTGTTCTCGCTCTCT